GGCAGTTTTGGGAGCCATATTAGGATTAAGAGAGTCAGTAGAATATTATGTAGTTCGAAAACATCTGAACATTGTCTCGGCCCTCCGAGAAACTTCTAATACAAATCTCGTAAAAATGCTGAGGAACATAAAATTTAATCGGCAACATCACGAATCCTTTCCTCACATCATTTGTGCAATAATTGCGTTCCTGAGATACTTCAATTGGTGTTTAGATGGCGCCAAAAAACGCCTTGAAACGAGTTCAGCAGGTTAGTGCCTCCAGTTGCATAAGCCCGAGGGGATTATTTACATCTCCTGGGAAGCAGTAAAGCTCTTGCCCTTACTCTTTTTGGGCAAAAGAGTAGTGTGGATGTTGGGTAAGACACCACCACTCGCAAGAGTTACACCAGCGAGGAATTTGTTCAGTTCCTCATCGTTGCGGACAGCCAATTGAATATGACGAGGAATGATCCTAGTCTTCTTATGATCACGCGCAGCGTTACCGGCGAGCTCGAGAATCTCAGCGACGAGGTACTCCAAGACTGCAGCTAAGTAAACTGGCGCCCCAGAACCTACGCGTTTGGCATAACGCCCCTTCTTGAGGTACCTCGCGATACGGCCAACAGGGAACTGTAGCCCGGCCTTGGCGGACCGAGACTTAGCTCCGCTGCCACTCTTCTTGCCAGCCTTACCGCGTCCACCTTTGCCTTTGCCAGACATGTCTTGTTTATAAGCGAGTGTGAGAGTGTGGGAGATGAAATGACGATGCGATATCATCCAGTGGCGCCTCACGCTCATTTTGATGAAAAAAGTGAAAAGTAACCATCAGCTCCGCTGAAATCAAAGGTAGGCCGGGAACTTTTGTAAAAACGTGTGGCATTTATAGACAGTTCGACAAGATGGCGTTGAGAAACGCCTTGTAATACTGCGCGGATGGCAACTCCCGGATCACAAGAGGCCTACGACCTCTCGCCGCGAATCCTCCTAGCTAGCTGCATATCCTTGGGCATGATGGTAACACGCTTAGCGTGAATTGCGCAAAGATTTGTGTCTTCGAAAAGACCCACGAGGTAAGCTTCCGCGGCCTCCTGTAAAGCCATAACTGCACTGCTCTGAAACCTCAAGTCAGTTTTGAAGTCCTGGGCAACCTCACGCACGAGCCTCTGGAAGGGCAATTTGCGGATGAGAAGATCCGTGCTCTTCTGATAACGTCTAATCTCACGCAGAGCGACGGTGCCCGGACGATACCTGTGAGGCTTCTTGATTCCGCCAGTACTGGGAGTAGACTTGCGAGCCGCTTTGGAGGCGAGCTGCTTGCGAGGAGCCTTGCCACCCGTAGACTTCCTAGCGGTTTGCTTAGTTCTAGCCATTGAGTAGTATGCGAACGAAGATAAGAGTTTTGGCAAGAGGTAGAGTATTAGAGCAACCGCCAGGTAGAGGAGAAACTGATGAAAAAACTGGCAAATTGATGGTAAATTGAGTAAAAAAAACGGATGAATTGAGAGTAAATTCGTAAGCCAGTAATTTAGACTTTTGCGTCGAAGATGCCAGACCGAGCCGAGAAGCTTGCTATCTAATGAGACTCGTTCAACGAAACCTACTCCTTCCAGCCACAAACTACTCATTCCCATCCTCTGCAGACACTCATTCTGAGTATCGCCGTCA